TGCATGCATGTGTGTGTGTTGTATGTGCAGTTTGCCTTTTGGAGTTAACCCTCCTAAGACATATCAAAATGTATTAGAAGAAAAAAAATATTATAACAAATTGTAATCATCAAAGTACAACCTACTTGTATGGCAGCAGCATATACTGACATTAAACAATGTGGCAGAAATAAAAAAGGAGTGATAAAAACATATTCTTAGAAACAGCATTAAAGCAGCTTGAAACATAAAAAGTCTTGAGGGTCATTTATGTCTTTAATCTTACGAGTCCTTATCTCATTTTAAAAGGAAAGTCCAAGAAGAAGAATTGCGGGAAAATCATCCTTATTTTGACAAGCCACTTTTCATAGTAGGGCGTGAACACAGATTCAGAAATTTCTGTCGAGTGGTTGTACGAGCTCGCTTTAATGCGTAAGTATATGAGTACTTCCTCATAGTGTTTGTTGCTTTGTTTCATCATGTTCCTTCATCACCTTGTACGTTGAGATTTGATATCAACTTTGCCTGATCCTCACCAGCTTCATAACTGTGTCTGTCACTATCATATCACAAATTATCCCACTGACATTTAATTTCAATAATAGCTACTAATGAAGTGGGCATAACTCACCATATGGTGACACCATGGACATGGTAAGTTCAAAGTGATTTTCAGGGGTTTCTAGGTACAGTGGTGCCTCGCTTAACGAGGATAATCCGTTCCAGTGAAATCGCTGTAGAACGAAATCCTCATTAAGCAAAATAAAAAATCCCATTGAATCACATTGAAAACCCATTCAATGCATTCCAATGGGCTGAATAACTCACCGTCCAGCGAAGATCCTCCATAGGGGCGGCCATTTTCAGTGCCTGTAAAGCGAGGAATCTGTCCAAAAACACAGTGGGGAGCCATTTTACACAGTGGGCAGCCATTTTAGAGCCGCCGACCAGCTGTTTTAAAAACATCATCTAGCAAAAAATCGGTTCCCGAAGCGGGGAACCGATCGTCGGGAAGTGAATTTTGCCCGTTAAAACATCATCTTGCAATCGCAAAACAGTCATCGTACAGCGGTTTCATCGTTTAATGAGGTAATCGTTAAGCGAGGCACCACTGTACTCAGAAATGGTTTACCATTCTCATGGGGTTGCTCTGGAGCTATGCAGCTTGTTCAATGTTGATTGTTCTCCCAAAAGGCATGGTAGGTAATTGAACTCTCAAAGGATAGCTCTGCAGCCAGATACCCTCTCAGCTCTCCAGCTGGCAATGAATAGATGTGAGCTGGTTAAAAGGATTAAAGCTGGTAGTTACTACTGTTGATTAATTTCTAAACTTCAACTCACATAGACCCAGGAATTAATTGCTAATGTATATGTATCATAATAATGATACAGTGATGCCTCGCAAGATGAAATTAATTTGTTCCACAAATCGTGTTGTATTGCAAAAATTTCGTCTTGTGAAGCGCAGTACTAATGATTGTGTGATTTAAAACAAACCAAAAAAAAGGGAAAAATCGTCTTGCAAAGCACGGCCGTAGAAAAATTCATCTTGCGAGTCACCAAAAAAATCGTAAAACCCTTTTGTCTTGCATGAGGCATTTGTCTTGCAAGGCATCACTGTGTAGTGTAGTGGATAAAATGATGGACTAGGATTATGGAAACAAGGGTTCAAATCCTGCTCAGCCGTGGAAACTCACTGAGGGAATCAAACTGGTAAAATCACACCTTAAATATCTTACTTACCTTCAAAGCCCTAAAAGGGTTGCTGTGTTGGTTCCGATTGGATGGTGCACACAAACCAAACAGCATCATAACAATGTGACAAAACAGTATGAGCTGCAGAATTCTGAAGATGTCTCTCTGTTGCAGATCAAAAACAGATCCTGTTACTGGAGCAGTGAAAAATACCAAATATCATCAACTTTAGTAAGCATCACTTTTAAAAAGATTACTTGATTAATTACATTTTATGTGAATGTTTTGCTTAGGAAATGTTTATTTTCTAATACGTTGCTATAATACCATTGTTAGGAGTTTCTGAATGTTTAAGTTGTGGGTGATTTTCTACTGTGGTCTTTCTAATCTTGCAGTGCATTCAATAAATGTTTGTTGTTATCATTGGGCTCTTCCTCTATTTGAGTTTATATCATTGTTCTGCAGTGATTTGCTGGGATTGGTCACTTATCTGGACTGGGTAATGATCATTGTTACTATATGCTCCTGCATTTCAATGATGTTTGAATCCCCTTTTCGAAGAGTGATGCACGCACCTACACTTCAGGTAGCTCTATGAAACTCATGTGGTATACTAAATAGTTTTATTTTTACTTTGGTTATATAGGTTTATTGCTAAATAGTCATTGGTTTTCCTTTTGCTTTTCAGATTGCTGAATATGTTTTTGTAATATTCATGAGTATTGAACTTAATTTGAAGATTATGGCTGATGGCTTGTTTTTCACGCCAACAGCGGTTATACGAGACTTTGGTGGTGTCATGGATATATTTATATATCTAGTAAGTTGTTGTTTTTAATGGATTATTCTCCAGCATGTTTGAAATTCTATTGCACTCATTTAAATTGCTAAAATATATTTGGAACTTAGCTTGAGTAAATGATCTACACTAAGTGTTAAAAATAATTTTGTAAAAATAGCTTTTTTCATCTCTCATCGGTCAAAGCACTTTCAAAAGTATATACTTGGCATACAGGCATCTAGCTACCTATATACACAGAAACATTTACAGTAGTATGAAATAGTTGCACTGTTTCTGTATGTTCCTTATTAGTTTATTTGCATCTCAGTGGTCTCTAGCATTCATAGACATCACACAGTTCCTGTGGTGGATCTCTGTGCTCATGTAACATCACAGCATTTCTGTCTTGGTCCTAGAATTACAAAAATGGAAAAGAAAAGAAAAATCAAACTGGAGTGGCTAGAAATCCCCATTTTGCAAAATGGATGTTTTGAGGTGTCAAGAAGTGCAGAGGGCCCTTGGGGCCGATTGCTAAAGAGAATCACTACTTATGCAGGCTCCTGGGAGCTGGAGTTCATCCTTTTTTTTCCAGAAAAAGAAAAAGCTGTCCCAGGACTAAATGTCACAGCCTTAGAACTGTGCTTTGTCCACCTCTGCTCTGTAATTAAAACAAAAGTGTTAACTAAAACAAACTCATAAAACCCAGCAGAACTACCTTACAATCAAGGCAGTTTACAGTATTTGCTAAAATACCTGCACAGATCTTCTACTACTATTAGTAGGACATTGAGGTTGATGTAAGTTGAGATCATCTGGCTGATGCATGTTTTTGAGACTGACAATTGCCACTGCTGTGGTGAGCATTGCTTCTGGTTCTGTTCTTAGACTTTTTGCATTGTTCCTGGGTGTCCCTAGGGAGATGACATGGTGGCACAAGCAGAATGACACGATGCTATGGTGGTGGCACAAGCAGCAAGATAGTGGCCACCAGTACAGCAGGTCTACAGGACTAGCCACGTTTAGAATGCCACTATGTCCTGGAATTCCATGTGAAAGATCTTGTTTTATTTTGTTTAAAAGATTTTTCAGTTACTTTTCAAGAGAATTTAGAAGTTACGTTACTTTGTGCAAGAAAATCAGGCAAAACTGAAGAAAAAATAAAAAAGACAAAATCATTGTGGCACAATAAAGGCTAACTGTTACATTTCATAACATGTTATATTTTATAACATGTAATGGTCTGTGAAAGCTTACATTAATAAATACAGTGGACCCTCGACTTACAGACGGCTCGACTTACAGACTTTTCGAGTTACAGACTTCTCTGGCTGCAAAATTTAGATTCGACTTGCAGCCGGAGAATTGACCTACAGACCAGAAAAAAACCAAAATGGAACAAAATTAGAATAAAAACTGCCAGTTGTGGGATTAATCAGTTTTCAATGCATTGTGGGTCAATGGAGATTCGACCTACAGACTTTTCGACTTACAGCCATCGTTCCAATACGGATTAATTCCTTAAGTAGAGGGTCCACTGTAGCAGTTAGTCCTTAAGGTGCTATAATTTTGCCTTTTTATTTTTATTTCGCTTTTGTTTGATGTACTTTTAAGTGAGGTTTCCAAAATAGCTAACCAAGGGTTAATAAAACAGAATAAAACTTCACACTCTATTCTGAGTTGTTTTTTTTTCCCCTCTTTCGAAGGTAAGCTTGATATTTCTCTGCTGGATGCCACACAATGTTCCTGCTAAATCAGGAGCTCAGCTCTTAATGGTGCTTCGGTGTCTCCGGCCCCTTCGAATCTTTAAACTTGTGCCTCAGATGAGAAAGGTTGTCCGAGAGCTATTCAGTGGCTTCAAAGAAATCTTTCTAGTAAGTATAGTTTATTCTGTTTCTGTTCCAAAATTGTGACAAAAGTAGAACTGTTAGAACAGACTATTCAACAAGGACTGGTCAAATAACTTTGGTCAAATAACTAATTAGTCAAATAACTAATCTGTGAAGATTCTCAGTCATCCAGGTGAGGTATTTGGAAGTTGAGTCATGGCAACTGGACTTCTTTTTTGTTAAGTTGAAATGTTTCGCTACTCATCCAGGTAGCTTCTTTAGTCTCAGGAGAGTTGGTAAGAGATCCCTGATATATCCTCCACATTGGTTTCATTTCTCCTTAGTCTGAATAGGCTCCTTAGAATAACAAAGGGCTGGGGGTGAGGAACTATCCCACTTCTGCAATCCTTCTCCACCCATTGCCATGGGTTGTTAACGGTCGTTAACAGTGGTCTTTCTGTGTGAGTGGTCCTGATCTCTTTGGGGACAGATGAAAGGGCAGCATGATAAATAGGAGATAGATTGTGTCTAAGGCCTCCACCCCTGCTGAGTGAGGAGTTTTCTATATGCATATGTATGGCCTCCCTCGCTCCTCTCTCAAACCACCTATCTTCATGGTTCAAATTGAATACATCTTGGTCATCAAATAAGTGTCCTTTATCCTTCAAATGAAGAGACACTGCTGATTGGGGTCCTGAGCCATTGCCCCTCCTGTGCTGGGCCATTCTCCTGTTTAGTGGCTGTTTCTTGTGAAGAAAGTCCCTGCTTTCCCCATCTACTTTCTTTACAAGAAAGTGCTTTCCCCCTCCACTTTATTTGCAAGAAAATGGAAGGGGAAAGCAGGGATCAAACTGCTTAGATCCCTTCCTCCCTCCTTGTTGTTGTTTAGTCGTATAGTCATGTCTGACTCTTCGTGACCCTATGAACCAGAGCACGCCAGGCCCTCCTATCTTCCACTGCCTCCCGGAGTTGTGTCAAATTCCTGTTGGTTGCTTCGATGACACTGTCCAACCATCTCATCCTCTGTCGTCCCCTTCTCCTCTTGCCTTCACACTTTCCTAACATCAGGGTCTTTTCCAAGGAGTCTTCTCTTCTCATGAGATGGCCAAAGTACTGGAGCCTCAGCTTCAGGATCTGTCCTTCCATCCCCCCTCTTTACTTCCATGTATAAGACAACCCTCAATTTGAAAATTTTTTTAGAAAAAAGTATCATCTTATACACAGAAAAATACGATAAATGGCAGCAGGAGATGAAGAAGCTGTATTCTGTCTGCCAAAACAAGACCAAGAGTGGATTATGCTACTGATCATAAACTACTGTATAAAGGAGACTTAATAGAAACACACTTGTGCTTGGCTTTTTAACGGAAGCAGTTTTTGGAAAAATGGAGAAACCCATTCTGTTCACAAGGAAGGCTTCCTTGTGAACAGGAGGACCGGAAACTCAGCCCCTTGGCGAGACTGGGTCAAAGTTCCTTCTCTGCACCATGCATGGACACCAGAGAAACTGCAAGTAAGTATTCTGGAAGTTGAGTCATGGCAACTGAACTTCTTTCTTATTATGTTGAAATGTTTCTCTACTCATCCAAGGAGCTTCTTCAGTCTGAGGAAAATTGGCAGAAGATCCCTGATATATCCTCCACGTTATCATGCTGCCCTTTCATCTGTCCCCAAAAAGATCAGGACCACACACACCAGGAGTACCACTGTTAACGACCGCTGACAGACCATGACAATGGGTGGAAAAAGACTGCAGAAGTGGGATTTTCACTTACTTGCAGTCCTTTGTCCGTCTAACAAGCCAATGTAGACCAGAGGGAAGTGAAACCAACCTGGAGGATATATCAGGGATCTCCTACCAACCCTCCTCAGTCTGAAGAAGCTACTTGGATGGGTAGTGAAACGTTGCAACCTAATAAGAAAAAAGTCCAGTTGCCATGACTCAACTTCCAGAAAATAACTTTAATATACAGTATTTCCATGGATCCTATAGGTTGCAAATTAAAATTCAATTTTTCCTTACACTTTATATCTATGTCCCAGTTAAACATTATTACTGGATCTGTAGAATCGGTAGTTTGAAAAAATTGCACATGGTGCTAATCAAATGACTTGATTATGTATTGGTAACAAGTGTGCTATATACATCTTTGAGGTAGCAGGATCACTATTGTGGGAATATTTTCTAAGCATATTGGCTGAAATCTAGTAGCAAGTCTTAACTAGAGTAGACCCATTGAATCAATAGAAATTTGTTCAGTTGATTCAGTAGGCCTACTCTACTGGATTTACTGATTGATTCCAGCCATTGTGAGCAATATTGCAAGTGTTTTTATTCTGCTAGATCAGAAGTAGTCAAGATCATGAGTCCTGGCTGTTTGCGTATTTTGGCCACCAGAGTCAGCTGTAAGTCATACTACTTCAAAAAACTATTGCCAAATAAGGACAAATCAAAACTGCTAGTAGCCAAACATCAATTCTATTTTTGAGTTTTGAGACTTTAGGGCCTTGTGTTAATACAAAATGGCTTCCCTCCCCCTCCCCCCCCAAAAAAAATCAGAACTGGAAATTGCCAGAAATCTGCTTCTAGTTTTGCATTTGGGTAGCAAAATGAAATGCAAAATTGCCTCTCCTGAGGACCCTAAGAAGCAGATGATGACTTTTTCACCCCCAGGACAGCAGTTGCAAGTAGTCCATAGATCCCAGAGTGGCTTTAGACGACATATGAAGCCCAACAGCTGCACTCTCCCATCCCCACCCTATGCTAGGCAGTACATACAGTACATTTCTGTCATGTTTGCAGCATGCAGTGCTTTTGTGCTGTCATTATGAGCACCCATATTTCCCCTCTCTCCAAGTTCTGGATAAGGAACAGGTGTGAAGAGAAGTCATTAAATTGTAAAGTACAAAGTTGCATTCAGTTATTACAGGATAGGATGAAGATAAAAGAAGTGTTAAGTTCTTCTGATAGTATTTGGAGAGATACCTGTTTGGTCACTGGTGGTGCAGCAAGTTGGATTGGCTAGGCTGTTACATTGATCCTGCACACCACGTAGAGAAGATAGTATCTCTACATTAGATAGAGATCATCTGCTGGACGGGATGAGGAGCACATTTAAGAATAATGAAGTGTCTCTGCATGTAGAGACTAGCAACCACTAAGTTGCCATCGTCCTCAGAACATACCAGCACTGTAAGCAGATCTTGCCATCAGTAATGTAATGGAAAGCTGCTTGTGTTGCTCATATTTATAGAAGAAATGCTATGTCATGTCCACATGCATCTGTTAAAGGATGACAGCTGCTTGTCATGCCCAATTTCCAGAAGAATCTTCCTCTTCCTTCTCTCTCTCTAGTGGCCATGTTTCAGGAGGAGGATGAGAATTATAAAAGGACACTAAGTTACATGTACAAGAAGTTACAAAGGCTGCTCTAAATTATGGGTAAGAAGAGATCCAGGCCTGTGTTTAGCTAGTGCCAACCCTCAGAAGTCTCTTAAGAGGAGGCATCGACAAAGCATTGAATCCTTAAATGCAGGGCAGCTTTAAAGATTGTTTTACTAGTTTTGATTTACTTTTACAGGTTTCCATTCTTTTACTGACATTAATGCTTGTCTTTGCAAGCTTTGGAGTTCAGCTTTTTGCTGGGAAACTGGCTAAGTGCAATGATCCACATATCACTGCAAGGGTAAGAGCACATTTTGCTTTCTTCTGATCAGGACCAATTTCTGGAACTGGAGTGAAGCGCTTGAGACATTTGGGGACTGATACTAATCAGGGGAAGACAAAGGGAGTTTGAAGGAAAATCTTGATGCAGCTCCTTTTTTACTACATTTTACTACAAGACAAATGTTTTGTGCATTTTTGTTTATCTGAAATATTAATAGACCAACTTTTAGGGACAAACTATCCTAATGCACCTTGCAGCAAATATATTCACAATATAAAATCAGGGCTAGTTCAAAAGAACAAAAACATAACAAAATAATAAGAAAAACAATAAAACAAGAGTAGGCAATAATAATAACCAAAAATAGCCTTCGAGAATAATAACCAAAAATAGCATTTGAGAATAGCAACATTGGATGGATGGATGGATGGATGGATGGATGGATGGATGGATGGATGGATGGATTACAACCATCTGTAGAACACACACAAAAGATTCTCATGCAATAAAAGGAAGGTGGAAACAAGCATGTTGTCAGAGGGTGGATGAATGATAAAGATTATGTATTTTTACAGGAATAGAGTTTCACAGTTGTAGGACTTCAATGGAAAGGGCTCTGTCTGTCTCTGTCAATCTGATTGGTTGTCCATCTGTAGAACACACAAAGAAGATTCTCATGCAATAAAATGAAGGTGGAAACAAGCATGTTGTCAGAGGGTGGATGAATGATAAAGATTATGTATTTTTACAGGAATAGAGTTTCACAGTTGTAGGACTTCAATGGAAAGGGCTCTGTCTGTCTCTGTCAATCTGATTGGTTGTTCCTCTGACAGTTGGGCACACATTTTTACAGGAATAGAGTTTCACAGTTGTAGGACTTCAATGGAAAGGGCTCTGTCTTTGTCAATCTGGTTGGTTGTTCCTCTGACAGTTGGGCACACAAGCTCTGCTTATGAAGTTGATCTTAAAGTACTAGGCTAGACTCCTCACTGCAGACAGAGTCTAGTCTATTATTGTCTGGGAGGAATTTCCCCATGGTCTTTCCAGCATCCTTGGAGTTGCCAGGGATTGAGCTATGGATCTTTGAGGTACAGAACATGTGGACCAAGATAGAGCTATCTGGGTCCTACAAATAGTTTACTAATGGGCATCTAAAGAGAGCTTTGTAAGACATTATACGTGATACAAGACAGACTTATATTACAATAGTGAACCAGAACTGCATCTACCAGTATTAAGGTCTTAGACTAGAGACTTTTATCCATAGCAACAGTCTATGCAATGTCCATGTATGTGATTATTGAACAGATGGGTGGTGCTGAAGAAAAGTGGGATTACCTGCACATCTTCAAGAAGGAATTGTTACCCATGAGGAGCACATGCAGTCAATGAAACACTACTGGCTGTAATATGTGCACTTATTACAAGGTGTACTTACTGTAAATACTACCCTTTTCCACACATACATCATCTTCTGTGCAAGAGATGATAGTTAATTAAGGCATTGACTGCTTAAATTATGCATGATGCTTACATTCATTTTATAATGTTTGTCGTTTTATGGTGTTTCTGCATGGTACTTTTTTCATATGCAAAATACTATTTTACTATAATTATTATATCTTTCTGGTAGGAAGACTGCCATGGTATATTCCGAATAAACGTCAGTGTTTCCAAAAATCTAAATTTAAAACTAAGACCTGGTGAGAAAAAGCCTGGATTTTGGGTACCTCGAGTCTGGTGAGTTGTATATTCCTGGCCTGTACCTTTCTTCAGTGAGCAATGTAGGATGTGTGGTGGACTTTATAACACTAGGCTATTAGATGGTTAATTTGCACAATGGAAAACAATGACAGCTGGCTTTTGTATGTTTCTTGCTAAATAGAAATGGGCAACAGGAGCAATTATAACACAGAATACAGTGGGGTCTTGACTTGAGAACTTAAGCCGTATTGGAAGGCGGTTCTCAAGTCAAAAGGTTCTCAGGTCAAATCTGCATTTCCCATAGGAATGCATTGAAAACCATTTGATCCGTATCTGCTCTTTTCCGTCCATAGAAACTAATGGGAAGCTGCTATTCCGCCTTCGACCACTAGAGGGGGATATTTTGTTTCTTTTTTTCTTAGGTCAAGAAAGGTTCAGGGAAGGCAGGGAAAATACAGTCCAGGCAGTACAGGATCAGGCAGTCTGAAGACTCCCAATCCACTCTCTAAACTCTGGGAGGAGTGAGGAAGCAGACAGGCCCCCTTTTCACTGGCCAACAGTTAACTGAAAGTCCAAATTTTGCACTTTCCCTGCCTCCCACGTGGTTTTTTTTTCAGTTCTTAACTCAAATCTAAGTATGTAAGTCAAGTCAATATTTTCCTATGAGAGTGGTTCTTAAGTCAAAATGTTCTTAACTCGAGCCGTTCTTAAGTCAAGACCCCACTGTATATTGTACAGTTTGTGGCTCACCGGACCAGTACATCAGTTAGGTATGGTAATCTCCCAGGGGCCTATTACAATAGGAGCATCAGAAGCTACCTTACATTAAGTGAGCTCTGTGGTCCACCCAGTGCACTGTTGTAATACTGATTGAAAGGTCCTGTCCGACATGCCAGGCAGATGTTTTCCTCAGCCCTACCTGAAGATACTGGGGGCTGAAGGTGTCCATCATTCAGCACACATGCTCTGCTGTGCACCTGTGCTCTCTCCTGCTTCTGCTGCCTGCTGTGTATAGGAAAGGAGATGGGGAAATGCACGTGAACAATCTGTGCAATCACTGATACGTGTGTGAATGTTACTGCAAATCACTTTAAATTACATATTTTCACTTTTGTCTCCTTCATCCTCTCAGGAGGTTTGGTAGCTTACATGGCTTCTTCCCCTATCTTCCTATTTGTAGCTTCACAATTAGCCTGTGAGGCTACATTAAGCTTATGCACAGTGGTGAGGATCACTCACTGTGATATGTATCTGTGACACAATTTGAATCTGGATGTGCTCAAAGCCCAACAATCGATCATTAAGCTATACTAAGATTTCGAGATGAACATGAGTCCTAAATATGTTTCTTTTTTTAAAAAAAGTAGTTACTGCTGAAGTCATACTGGTGTGCTCCCCAGTCATTCAAAGACAGGGAGGCAGACAGATTTATTTGCAGATGACAGGCAGATTGGGTTAGATCCGAAATGAGTCATGCTTAGAGTAGATCTGCTGAAATTCATGAAGCAATTTAATCATGATGAGTCTTATTGATTGTAGTGGGTGTACAATTTTTACGACTGAACCAGAATCCAGTCAGCTGATTAACCTTAACTGGCATTTGCAAGCAGCATGTTGACTGACTGAGACTAGTTTGAGCACAGAGAAGTCAGCTATGAGAGTTTCTTTACACCAAAGATGAAGAACTTCTGGTCTTTTTGATATTTTGGACATCAACTCCAGAAGCCCCAGCCAGCATGGCCAGTCGTAACAGATTGTGAGAAGAATAGTCTCCACACAGCTCTAGAGTATGTAGCTCAATGCATGACCCATTTTGAGTCCAATTGTGACATTTTGCTTGGCATAAGGTACCTTGCCTGGATGGGGAGGGAGAACTGCTGCTAAGTAAATGACCTCATGTGTTAGTTGAGTGTTTACACATGTGTGGTATGTGTGATTCTTCTACCTCTTTGAGGAGGAGGAGGAGGAGGGCTAAGCAGTTTTCGCCTTAGCTATTTTTCTTCTCTCTGATGGGAAAAGACACATGAGTGCTTTAGTTCACAGATACACAAATCCTGAACTGGATACCTTGGTGTTTTTTTTTTCATTTTTGTTTTTATTCCTTGTATTCCACTCCTGTACATGAACATGCCTAACTCAGCCTTGATATAATTTGTCTGACAGAACTTCTCCAGGTACTTCTGGACTGGCTCTGTAATTCTTTTGCCAGGTATCCTTCTGAGGTGTTTATATTAGTCCTAAATCAAGTTGCCAGCAACACATCTGGACACACTGTTAATAATATTGCACCAGAAGCAGTGGTGCTGGCCTGTTAATTAGGAGCAACAGTGTTTTAAGATCCATGCCTAGAATAACTGAATACCTGTAGCGAAGGGATGACAAAGTGATCTGAAGCGGAGAAAGCAATTTTCAAGACTTTAAAAACTGATAGAGAAACCAGACATATTTCTTCTGCCTTGTCACTTAGGGTATGTTTTCTTGTATGTTGTGGGACATAAATTCTGAACAGTACTATTACACACACACACACACACACACACACACACACACACACACACACACACACACACACACACACACACACACACAGATACACACTCACCTTTTTAAGAGAAATGTTTCAAGGAAAGTTATGGAACCTGCTCATTTGATTTTATAGGATTAATTGATTGATCGAATCTATAGCTTGTTATTCTTCTAGAAAGTTCAAAGTGGGTGCAAAGTGGTTTAGAGTATTAGATGATCCATGTTCAAGTCCACACTAGCTGAAGACTCTCACTTGGTGTTTTTGGGACAGTCACTCTCTCTTAGCTTGACCTACCAGACAGAATAGTTGCATAGATAAGGTGAGGAGGAGGAGAGCCACATGAACTGCCTTGAGCTCATTTGAGGAAGGGCCTTATATTGTACACAGATCAGATGCCTACCCTAAGAAGTACTAGAGTGTCAGATGCTTCCACATTATTTGCCATCAGATACGGGTACAATACATCTATTGATATATGAAGCAACCTTATAATGAGTAAACCATGACTCTGTTTAATCCAAGACTCTGAGTTCCTCAAAGTTCCTCAAAGTCTTAGGCAGATTTACAAACCTTTGCTTCCTGGGATCCTTTTAACTGAAAGGGAATGAATCTGAAATAGTCTGAATATAATACATATATATATATTACTACTAAGCTATGGCCCACCATACCTGATGTATCAGGCATAAGGACAGAAACTTTATGAAGGTGACTGGAAAAGCAGTGGAGTGGGCATTCACTACGTCATGTTGACAGCACTAATTACTGTTTTCCAAATGCAAGAGAAGACAGCCATTTTGCAATTTTTTTCTTTTTGGACATAATTGTAAAGGCACTTCAGTTCTTCTGTATGAATGAGCTCTTTAATTCTAGCTCTCTAAATTTCTATGAATTTTAGAAAACAGGCTGTGTTCTTGCAATTCTGGCTGAACTCTCATATACTTTTACTGTGAGAAATTATATTGCAACATGCTACTCTAATGAAATAGTGGACTATTATTTAAGCTTCAGTTTACTGTAAATAAAACCTACAATCCAAGCTGAAGGGAATAAGCAATTTAAGCACATTTCAGTGATGGTTAATTTGAAACAGAAATAATTAATTGTGGCTGCGACTTTGATTTGTGATTTGATTCTCAGAGTTTAATATGATTGAATTCACAGTCAGTGATCATATAGGGGCTGTGGATTGATTCGGGCATTTAGTATTCAAATGCAATGGATGCAATTTGCATTTCAGGCCACAGCTACCAATTTTCTTCTTCCTTCCTTCCTGTAGTCTTGCTTGTGCTGGTCTTTTTATGGCTCACTGCCAAGCCACATGATTTGAAAACATTGTACAGTGTTCTGGAAAAGGTGGCAGTATTCCAGAGTTCTTAATGTATATAAAAATGTCTCATACCTTGGGAATGGCTTTTATTTCTTATGGGTTGTTTCTGTTTTGTTCATATTTTTTTCTGTTTCTTCTGAAGGTGATCTAACACTGAACTGGGATATTACTACTAGTGATAGGGTGATAGGATGATCTAGTTTAATCTCATATATACATATACAAAATTTAAACATTGGAAGAGGGTCAAGGGAAAAGAATGTGGGGCCAGGTATTCCCATCTTCCTGAACTTCACTTCCCAACTACCTACACCACCAAAAAATAAAAATAAAAAAAAACCAGATATATGCTCCTTCCTTTTATAAGAACAAATCAACTGATCGCATGGGGAAAGGTTCTCTTGAATTGTTACAGCTTGAGGGGGGGAATAGAAGCCTCCAGTGGTGGTGGGGGCACTGTATTGGGAGCAAAAAGGGCCAGATCAATTTGAATTGGCCTTTGCATTATGTGGTCCAAAAAAAAGTATTTCAGATCTACCCATACTATAACCACAGAAAATCCTGCGATATTTGATTGTGTCATCTGTGCACATCTACTCTAAACTATAGGATTTGAGCCCCAGATCAGGAACATTAACAACATTAGGAGCCTTGTTTATTAAGTGTGATAAACTATAGTTATCTTGTGGAGAATGGAATCGATGCAGGTTTCAGGAGAGAGGCAGGTTCAATGTCCATTACAATGAAACATTTGGAAAATCCACTCATTAATTTTGATTACACTTTATATAAAGGTAAAGGTTCCCCTTGACCATTTTTTTGTCCAGTCGTGTCCGACTCTAGGGGGCGGCGCTCATCCCGCTCTTCAAGCCATAGAGCCAGCGTTTTGTCCGAAGACAATCTTTCCGTGGTCACATGGCCATTGTGATTTAGACACGGAACGCTGTTTACCTTCCCACCGAGGGGGTCCCTATTTATCTACTCGCATTTACATGCTTTCGAACCGCTAGGTTGGCGGGAGCTGGGACAAGCGACGGGTGCTCATTCCGTTGCGTGGATTCGATCTTATGACTGCCGGATCTTCTGACCCTGCAGCACAGGCTTCTGCGGTTTAGCCCACAGCGCCACCACGTCCCTTTTACACTTTATAAGAGGGCTAAAAGCTGGTCTCCTTCAGTAAGCAGTTAATAAATGTATTAACTGTACCTTATTTTGGAAAGCTGATGTTCTCCAGCTTTGTCCTCAGGCCTCTGTGCAGTGAAGATTGTAACATGAACCACATATTGATGTATTAAGCATCACATTATGATATATAAAATGCAAGACTGGCAATCCATATCATTTAATCTTCTGGGGCCTTTGTAACCCAATCCTAAACATATATTCAAAGGTAAGTCCCATTGAGCCTTACTCTCAAGCAAGTGTGTGTAGGATAGAAGTCTTCTTTTTCAGATGTTCAGCAGTCTTATCCTTGTCTTCTGTCTTATAATTAGATAAATAAGAGAAAGAATCAGAGAGAAGAATAATATCCTTTTCTATGTTTTCCTGTATTGCTGAGTAAGAGAAAGTGAACATTTGAAGATTAACTACTCAATGAAGTTATGCAAAGATCTGTCAATGTTTTTTTAGGACAAGTAAGGTCCTCCACAATATTTATTTTGTCCCTCTGCTATATCGCAGGGCCAATCCTCGAAATTTTAACTTCGACAATGTTGGAAATGCAATGCTGGCATTATTTGAAGTCCTTTCATTAAAGGGATGGGTGGAAGTCAGAGACGTTATCATTCACCGTGTGGGACCAGTAAGTATAACCCTCTATTATTGGTAGGCTTTTAGTCCCTCCTTTCATATCAAATTGGTCTTGATTTTTTTAAAATAAAAAAAAACTTTATTTATACAGATCCATGGCATCTACATCCATGTTTTTGTATTCCTGGGCTGCATGATTGGACTGACCCTTTTTGTTGGAGTTGTCATTGCTAATTTCAATGAAAATAAGGTAACAGCAAAAGATTTCTATTTCTCATACAATTGTTTTTACATTATGTTGCCTGGTTTAAGTGTTGTACTCTAATATCAGATAATATACAAATGCAACATAAGATTGTGGTTGTGGAGATGGCCAGGAATTTTTTTCCCTCATCTTTAAGAAAATGCCTGGAATGTAGTGCACATTTCAATATAGGGTATTCAGTGTGATCACTTTTTTTCCAAATGAATCTGTTCCTCGCTACAATCTTTGATTGACCACTTCGAGGTGTGATCAAAGGTACCTGCTGCTACCAACTGGTAGCAGCAGGGCCTTAAGAGAAGTCAGTCAATCTTGCTGACCATTTGCCCCCTTGCCTGAAACAGCCTGCCCGGACCACAGGCTGTGAGTGATACTGCAAGTACAGTGGTGCCTCACACAATGATTGCTTCGTACAATTAGGATGGCTGTAGCTTTCAAGATCTGGAATTTTGTCTTCTGATAATGTGCAAGCACATTTCCATTTCCCGTGGAAGCCTGTACACATAGAGGACAACATATATTGGCTTTCTCTTCTGACACACTTGCTGTCAATACACAGATATTGGCAGGGGCAATGAACTACTCAATTTAAGATCAAGTTTGACCTCACAACCGTTTCCTTCTTTTAGGAAGTAGTGTAAGAACACCTAGGTCAAACCAAGTTTTGTTGGCTAGAGAGACGATAGATAGTATATGTTTTCCCACACCAGTCTCTTTTATGTGAAGTCCTCTCTGTGTGTTCAGTTCAGTCAATCACTTCTTGTTGCTGTTGCTCATTTAGGGAACAGCTTTGCTGACTGTTGATCAAAGGCGATGGGAAGATCTAAAGAGCCGATTAAAGATAGCCCAACCCCTTCATCTCCCACCTCGCCCAGGTAATAAAGCCATTTCACATCAATTCACATTGAATGATAACATTAATAATTTTGCAAGAAGCTAGGAATCACATTCAAGGATCTGAATCGTACTGAGATGTTCTGCACACATAAGGGCTTTCACAGACACATTTGCTGCTCCTTGGGGGGGTTACCTGTTGTGCAACCTGTCATCCAAGAAACCACAGGAGAAGTCTTGGAGAGACTGAAAAAACAACTCAAATCCTTTGTGCGATAGTCCTTACACAATTGCATTATCCAACAGTATTCTGACCCGATTATTTCAACGTGGCCACTAGGAGGTTGTAAATGTTAATGCAAAGGTAGGCAACAGTGTAACTCATTCCCCAACAATTTTGATATCAACTCCAAGTATTTAAGATTTAACATTGTCATAGCATATTTTCTAAGGTGTGGCTGAAATCTAGAAAAGGTTTTGGAAAATAAAAGGAGAAAGAAATTATACGTTTAATTAAATCATTTGCATTTAACTGCTTTCCCCCCCCAGATAATGATGGATTCCGAGCCAGGATGTATGATATAACACAGCACCCATTTTTCAAGAGAACCATCGCTGTTCTTGTTCTGGCCCAGTCTGTGTTGTTATCTGTTAAGGTATTGTTACTGCTTTGGTGATTAACAGATTATATAGACAGAATAAAATGTGATGCAGCTTTTGGTAGAGACCATTGTTTCTATAGAATTAGCAAGAATCAATATAAAACTTTAAACAAAACAAAAAGAAACACAACTTTCTTTATAAAACTGAAGGTTTTATAAAACTTGTTTCTTCTTTTACGTAAGTGGGATGATCAAGACCCAGTGACTGGTCCTTTAGCTGCAATGTCTGTTGTCTTCACCTTCATTTTTGTTCTTGAGGTAAGAGTATAGATTTAATAACTTTTCTAAGACCAGATAATTTGTGTGTTTCGCATCTTTTACAGATTTGTAAATGTCAGTGTGAGAAAATTCTGCTTTGTTATAAAGACGATCAAAAAGAAAGTGATAAATACTTATCCAAGACAGCGTAAGCTTTTTCTGCCTGGAATCGGGGATTATTGTGATATTAATCAGAAGAAAATAAAATAAAATGAGAAGTATTGTGGTATCATTAAGACCCAAGACATGTCTGAAGAAAAGGGTTATAATCCCCAAAAAGCTCACACTGAAATAAATTTGCTGGTCTTAAGGTGCTGCAATACTTGTTTTCCTTTTGCTGAAACAGAATGACATAGCTGTCTCTCTGAACATTTCTTGACAGAGTGCTTAAAACAGTTTATATACACCAGTCAGATCCTCTTGATGTTCACATAAGATTTGCATGACTTTCTATAGCAAATGTACACTAATAGACATAGTTCCAGGGTGCATTCTGCTCTCAAACATCAACAGAATTTCCAACCTCCAGTTCAATTCTGGCATTCTTCTCAGTGATACTTGCAGTATCCTCTTCCAGAACTACGGTGTCCTTGTTGAGTTCCTAGCAAAGCCAAAATTTGAACTGGGAATTTACTGGTTTGCAACTCTTATCTCTGATGACCAATATCCAACAAGGTGCAATCCGTAAAACCCTAGAACCTTTGTCTCCATGTTGCATATTTATCTACTGTAAATGACATATGTGAAAAACTGCTATAAAGCATGCGAGAGAGGTTGCTGTGGGGTTAAAATTAGCAGCTTTAGAGAAGATCATTTGGGTTGGGGCCAAGGGGACATGGGCAAGGGGATTTCAGGTGCTTTAAGTATGGAGGCAACTTGTTAGGACTGCTGTGTCACCCTGTGCCCTGTGCCACACCAAGTTTATGAAAGTGGAGAATGACTGTTTCCAGGACTGAAGTAATCAAAACAGCACAGTGAGCAGCATAGTGAGAAGTTCTCCTTGTTTCTTTGGTAGACTCTATTCTTCATGCTACTGTGAAGTCTTGTTCGTGAAAAAAACACTAAATTAAAGGGATTCCTCTACTGCATTAATAATTTTAATTATTATTAAATAAACTAGTATGACTCTTATCAGATTAAAAATAAACATTGTTTGCTGCCCCAATCCAAAGGTGACCTGAGGGAGGGGGAATGATACAATATCTGCCATTTAAGTACAGTGGTGCCTCGCTTTATGAGCGCTCCGTTTGACGACAAAATCGCATTATGTTGAAGATTTTGCAATCGCAAAAGCGATCACAAAACAATGTTCCCTATGGGAGAATTTCGCTTTGCGATGATCGGTTCCCTGCTTGGGGAACCAAACATCGCAAAGCGACAATTTTCAGCCAGTTTACAGGCGGTTTCAAAATGGCCGCTGGGTGAAAAACATGGCTGCCCACTGTTTTCTGGCACGGATTCCTCGCTGCACGGGCAGCAAAAATGGCAGCGCTATGGAGAATCTTCACTGGACTGTGAGTTTTAAGCCCATAGGAACGCATTAATTGGGTTTTAATGCGTTTCTATGGGCTTTTTAAAATCTCATGACGTTTTCGTTCGACAGCGATTTTTGTGGAACGAATTAACGTCGTCATGTGAGGCACCACTGTATTCCTCAATGATGAATACTGAAGTGGTAAATATATTAACATTCTCCCTTATGTCAACTTTGCTTTTGGAAATCATTCAGAATTTATTTATGAATCTGATAAGATCCACATTGATGGTTGATTTCCCAATCATTCCCAGTCTGAATGCTACTGGAACTTGGATGGGGAGAAGGAGTATGATATTAATGTAGTAAGGAACATAATTCACAGTGAAGTTACAACATATATATTCACTTTCTCCAGGTCACCATGAAAATTATTGCCATGTCACCTGCAGGATTCTGGCAAAGCAGAAGAAATCGTTATGATCTTTTGGTGACATCCTTGGGCGTCATATGGGTGATACTCCATTTTGCCATCACTGTAAGTTCATTTTTAAGCTTTCTTTCTTTGACATCCTGTTGGCAGAGCTGCATTGCACAACTTGGATGACATCATGAGCCATAGCTGTTTCAGGCTTCCTAATTTCCCCATTCCAGGTTCCATAGATCCCAAGGGATCCCTTTCATCTTGGAAAAAACTTCAGGAGACACAGAACAGGGTATGGAACGATTTAAAGCCCACCAATGGTGGAACCAGGATGAGCAGAAATTGGGGGCCTTAAAGGTTCCCAAAGGCTTCCCAGGACAAAAGGGATCCCTAGGAATGCCCAGAACCAAGAGAGACTAGAAAGTTGTTAACTGCCCCAA